AAAATAAGCTGGGGCCGGCCCTGTTCCCATTCTGTATGGATAAATGTGGTGCTTTCCCTGGAGATAGATCCAGATGGGTCGCCGTGCGAGTCTGTCTGTAGCAGCAGAAAAGAGCAAGAGTCCAGGAGCACCTTCAAGACTAACAAAATTGGTGGCAGGGGAGGAGCTTTTGTGATAAAGCTAGAATGTGAGTCCATCTGTCCTTATGTCACAATGCTGGTGGATTTCTGTTCTATATGGCTAAATGTGGTGCCTTCCATGGAGACAGATCAAGATGGGTAGCCGTGTTAGTCTGTCTTTAGCAGTAAAAAAGAAGCAAGAGTCCAGGAGCACCTTTAAGACTGACAAAATTGGGTGGTTAGGGAAGGAGCTTTCGGGAATCACTCTGAAGCTACTGGACTCTTGCTCTTTTCTACTGTGATTTTTATTGTCTTTTAAAGTCATTATAGTACTTTATATAAGTACTATATAAAGTCCTTATAGAGATATAAAATATGCAATCATAAAAATAACAATAAAATTTTAAGATCATAAAAACTATAAATCGTTAAGATCATAAAAACTATAAATCGTTAAGATCATAAAAACTATAAATCGTTAAGATCATAAAAACCAGAAATATTTAAAACCATGAAAATCATAAAAATCATTTAAAAAAACAAACACACACTCTTCAATATGCAATCTTGCCAAGGCAGCTAACCGTTCCAGGGGTCTCGCTTTCCTCCCTGTCTCCCCAGAGCCCTCTTCAAGACTCCCCCGGTGCTGGCCTTGAACCAGACGCAACACTGCAAGCAGCTGGAGGGGCTGGTGGTCTCCCAAGTGCAGCTTTGCCGGAGCAACCTGGAGCTGATGCAGACGATCATCCAGGCCGCCCGGGAGGTGATCAAGACGTGCCGCAAGGCCTTCTCCGACATGCGGTGGAATTGCTCCTCCATCGAGCTGGCGCCGAACTACCTGCTGGATTTGGAGAGAGGTAAAAAAAAAAAGAGAGAGAAGAAGTTGGCTTTGGCCTGAATGGTGGCCCAGGCTGGCCTGTCCTCATCAGATTTCAGAAGCTGAGGAGGGTCACCCTTGGATGGGAGACCACCAAGGAAGTCCAAGGATTATGTGCAAAGGCAGGCAGTGACGAACCACCTCTGTATGTCTTCTGCCCTGACCTTGATGGCCTCTGCTAGCCTGATCCTCATCAGCTTTTGGAAATCAGAGGTACTAATCCTCTGAATCCCAGGCCCAGGAAGCAAGATCAGGGGAAGGCCTCGGCCTCTGTGCTCTGTTGTTGGCCCTCCAGAGGAACTGGCTGGTCACTGTGTGAGGCAGGATGCTGGACTGGATGGACCACCAGTGTGATCCAGCAATGGCCTTCTGATGTTCTTATCAAGGGATGGCCTCCCTGCCCTGTTGTTGGCCCTCCAGAGGAACTGGCTGGTCACTGTGTGAGGCAGGATGCTGGACTTGGTGTGACCCAGCAGGGCTCTTCTGAGGTTCTTATCAGGGGAAGGCCTCGGCCTCTCTGCCCTGTTGCTGGCCCTCCAGAGGAACTGGTTGGCCACTGTGTGAGACGGGATGCTGGACTAGATGGACCCTCACTGGCCTGATCCAGCAGGGCTCTTCTGAAGTTCTTACCCGGGGAAGGCCTCAGCCTCTCTGCCCTGTTGCTGGCCCTACAGAGGAACTGGTTGATCTCTGTGTGTGACGGGATGCCCGACTGGATGGGCCACTGGTCTGATCCAGCAGGGCTTTTCTGAGGTTCTTATCAGGGGAAAGCCTCGGCCTCTCTGCCCTGTGGTTGGCCCTCCAGAGGAACTGGTTGGCCCCTGTCTGAGACAGGATGCTGGACTAGATGGACCACAGGTCTGATCCAGCAATGGCCTTCTGATGTTTTTATCAAGGGATGTCCTTGGCCTCCATGCCCTGTTGTTGGTCCTCCAGAGGAATTGGTGGGCCACTGTGTAAGAGAGAGAATGCTAGACTAGATGGACCACTGGTCTGATCCAGCAGGGCTCTTCTGAGGTTCTTAACAGGGGAAGGCCTCAGCCTCTCTGCCCTGCTGTTGGCCCTCCAGAGGAACTGGTTGGCCCCTGTGTGAGACAGGATGCTGGACTAGATGGACCCTCATTGGTCTGACCCGGCAAGGCTCTTCTGAGGTTCTTCTCAGGGGAAGGCCTCGGCCTCTCTGCCCTGTTGTTGGCCTTTCAGAGGAACTGGTTGGCCACTGTGTGACAGAGGATGCTGGACTGGATGGGCCACTGGTCTGGTCCAGCAGGGCTCTTTTTATGTTCTTAAGGAAGTCCGAGTTTGCTATGCTGAGTCAGGAGATGGCAAACCACCTCTGTATGTCTTTGCCCTGACCTGGATGGCGCAGGCTAGCCTGATCTCACCAGATCTTGGAAGCTAAGCACGGTTGGCCCTGGTTATTAGTTGGATGGGAGACCACCAAGGAAGTCCAGGGTCACTATGCAGAAGCAGGCAGTGGTGAACAGCCTCTCTTCCTCTCTTGCCCTGGAATTTTTTTATGATGTTGCCAGAAGTTTGCCATAACTTGACAGCCCTTTCCACCACCAAAACCTGAGCTATGTGATTTTGCATGAGCCACACCTTGAAAATTACACCCTGTCACATGTATGGTCTTCATGGCTTCTGGATAGAGCAACAGTGAATTTGTTCCCGAAAACGCTGACCAAATGTTCGGATATGTGTCGCGTATCTGATTTTGCCCTTGGATATTTTGGCAACATTTGATCAGCAGCAAGCTGTGTTAGTCTGTCTGTAGCAGAAGAAAAGAGCAAGAATCCAGGAGCATCTTCAAGACTAATGAAATCTGTGGCAGGGGAGGAGCTTTCGGGAGTCACGGCTCACTTCCTCAGATACAGCTAGAATGGGAGTCCATCTGTCCTTCTATCACAAGGTTGATGGATTCCCATTCTGCACGGCTAAATGTGTTGCCTTCCATGGAGATACATCAAGATGGGCAGCCGTGTTAGTCTGTCTGTAGCGGTAGAAAAGAGCGAAAGTCCACGAGCACCTTCAAGACTAACAAAATTCGTGGCAGGGGAGGAGCTTTTGTGAGTCACTGCTCGCTTCCTCAGATACAGCTAGAATGAGAGTCCATCTGTCCTTCTATCACAAGGATGATGGATTCCCGTTCCATACGGCTAAATGCGGTACCTTCTATGGAGACAGATCCAGATGGGTAGCTGTGTTAGTCTGTCAGCGGCAATAGAAAAAGGGCAACAATCCAGGAGCACCTTCAAGACCAACCAAAGTTGTGGCAGGGTGTGAGCTTTTGTGAGTCACGGCTCACTTCTTCAGGTGCTATTCAGGTGGGAAATGCCAACGATGGTAAACAATTGTAACAATTATCTGAATAATACCTGAAGCCATCGGAAGCAAAATTGCATATTCTAGCTGCGGTAGCCTCGAACTAAGGCTCAGTCTCTGGCATCTCCAGCTAAGAGAATCAGGTGGTAGGTGAATTGAAACCTTGACCTGAGACCTTGAGACACTGCCAGTCTGAGTAGACAAAATGGACCGTGATGGACCATTTTAGTATAGATTTAGTATAAGGCAGCTTCAGGGGGAGGGCTGTGGCTCCGTTTTGGAGCAGCTGCTTGGCATGCAGAAGGGTCCCAGGTTCAATCCCCGGCATCTCCAGTTAAAAGGACCAGGCAGTCGGTGATGGGAAAGACCTCAGTGGCTCAGTGGTAGAGCCTCTGCTTGGCATGCAGAAGGGTCCCAGGTTCAATCCCCGGCATCTCCAGTTAAAAGGACCAGGCAGTCGGTGATGGGAAAGACCTCAGTGGCTCAGTGGTAGAGCCTCTGCTTGGCATGCAGAAGGGTCCCAGGTTCAATCCCCGGCATCTCCAGTTAAAAGGACCAGGCAGTCGGTGATGGGAAAGACCTCAGTGGCTCAGTGGTAGAGCCTCTGCTTGGCATGCAGAAGGGTCCCAGGTTCAATCCCCGGCATCTCCAGTTAAAAGGACCAGGCAGTCGGTGATGGGAAAGACCTCAGTGGCTCAGTGGTAGAGCCTCTGCTTGGCATGCAGAAGGGTCCCAGGTTCAATCCCCGGCATCTCCAGTTAAAAGGACCAGGCAGTCGGTGATGGGAAAGACCTCAGTGGCTCAGTGGTAGAGCCTCTGCTTGGCATGCAGAAGGGTCCCAGGTTCAATCCCCGGCATCTCCAGTTAAAAGGACCAGGCAGTCGGTGATGGGAAAGACCTCAGTGGCTCAGTGGTAGAGCCTCTGCTTGGCATGCAGAAGGGTCCCAGGTTCAATCCCCGGCATCTCCTGTTAAGAGGACCAGGCATTCGGTGATGGGAAAGTCCTCAGCCTGAGACCCTGGAGAGATGCTGCCAGTCTGCGTAGACAATACTGATCTTGATGGTGTTCATCTGTGTCCCCTGCTGGTGCACCTTCTGGAGGAGCTGCCTGCCAGAGTGTGGGAAACGTGATGTTGTATTAGATGAACCACTGGTCTTGATCTAGCCCAGCTCCTCCTAAACCAGACAACAAGAGCAGTGGACACATGAAGCAGTGGACACATGAGTCGGACCCTTGGTCCACCAAGGTCAGTATTGTCCACTCAGACTGGTTGCTGCTCTCCAGGGTCTCAGGTAGAGGTCTTTCACATTGCCTGCTACCCGATCCTATAACTGGAGATGCTGGGGATTGAACCTGGGACCCTCCTCTGCATGTTAAGCAGATACTCTAGCACTGAGCCACAGCTCTGTATCTTGCATGGGACAATAATGCAGACGCCTGCATTAAAGCACACAAGAGAATTCATGTTGACTCAGGCCAATGGCCCATCCAGTCCAACACTCCAGGGGCCATCAGGAGGTCCACCAGTAGGGCCAGAACTCCAGAAGCCCTCTCACTGTGGCCCCCCAAGCACCAAGAAGACAGAGCATCACTGCCCCAGACGTAGTGTACCATCTATCCCTTGTGGCTAATAACCACCAATGGACCTGTGCTCCCGATGTTGATCCAATCCAGGGGTCATTTTGTAGAAAAAGAGGTGCAGGAGCTCATTAGCATAATGTATTAGCATAACATATTTGCATATACCACACCCCGTGACATCACCGGAAGTGTGTCAGAAGGTAACACCCACCACTCAGGCTCCACTGGTCTGTTTTGGATTCCTAGCTATTGGGGGGGGGGAACGTGCAGATCGGTCCTCGCAGAGGAGGGAGAGCTTGTACCTGAGTAAAACTTGGTCTTAAAGGTGCCACCGGAGTGTTTTGAGCTTCTACCTGAATAAAACTTGGTCTTAAAGGTGCCACTGGACTGTTTTGGACCGGGGGGCCGGAGGGAGCTCTGCAGCTTACCTGGCTGCTTCTTGCTCTGACTGAGGGCTGCTGGGAGCAGGGGGTGGGGCTTGTTGCATGTGCCTGCCCCCTGGGCTCTTTACTGCTGGAGCTCCGCTCCTGCGCGCTCCTGCGCGCTCCTGCAGGAAATGACCCCCGATCCAATCCCTTCTTGAAATGTTGCTGTGCATCACTGCGATCTCCAGTCACACAGGCATCTCTTTTCCTGGTTGGCGACCCAAATGTTTACCGTGTCCTCTGGCCAGTGTTGCGTACCACGTGTCGCGTGCAAAAATCGTTTCCAGATTTTGGGGATGCCACCACTGACCCCTTCGCCCGGTGTGTCCTTCTGTCTTCCAGGCACCAGGGAGTCCGCTTTTGTGTACGCCCTCTCCGCCGCCTCCATCAGCCACACCATCGCCCGATCCTGCACCACGGGGGACCTCCCTGGCTGCTCATGTGGTCCCCTCCCAGGTGAGACACCTGGACCTGGGTATCGCTGGGGAGGATGTGCAGACAACCTCAACTATGGTCTGGTCATGGGGTCCAAATTTTCAGATGCTCCCATGAAGATGAAAAAATCAGGATCACAAGCCAATAAGCTGATGCATCTGCACAACAGTGAAGTAGGGAGACAGGTAACCGATCCGAGAGGGGTTGTTCTCGTTAACGCAAAAAAAATCGCCATCCAGGGTTCCCCATGGAGCGCAGAGCTGACAGTCAGTGACGGGAGTGAGCAGGGGGTGGGTTTCGAGGGTTGTTGAAGACAGCGGAGCTGGAGATGCACAGATCTGACCCATGGGGGGGGCCATCCGTCAGGAAACCTTCTTCTGTGCATGCTATTTTGGGGTGACATTCTAGTCCAATGGTGAACGTGCTTGAC